CTTTAAAAAATCGAAAAAAATTGAATTACAATCAAAAATTCTCAAGTGAAATTTTTCATATTTTCAATAAAAATTTTTCACGTCAAAATTTTTATATTTTTTATCGCAAAAAACGCAAATATTTAGTCAAAAATTCTCACGTAAAATTTTTCATATTTTCCAACAAAAAAAAAACTCAAATCTTCAACCAAAAATTCTAACGTCAAAAATTTTTTATCTAAAAAAACTCTAATTTTCAATCCACAATTCTCCAGTGAAATTTTTCATATTTTGCATCGAAAAAGAAATATTCAATTTTTTTAATATTTTCAAACAAAAATTCTACGTAGAATTTTTCATATTTTCCATAAAAAAAAAATAAAATTTTCAATCAACAATCCTCAAGTCAAAAAAAAACTCTAATTTTCAAGCAAAAATTCTACGTCAAATTTTTCATATTTTCCAACAAAACAAAAAAAAAATTCAATTCTTCAACCAAAAATTCTAACGTCAAAAATTTTTTATCTAAAAAAACTCTAATTTTCAATCCACAATTCTCAAGGGAAATAAAGTGATATTTTTCATATTTTGCATCGAAAAAATAATCAAATATTTTAATATTTTATAGCAAAAAAAAACTCTAATTTTCAAGCAAAAATTCTACGTCAAAATTTTCATATTTTCCAACAAAACAAAAAAAAAATTCAATTCTTTAACCAAAAATTCTAACGTCAAAAATTTTTTATCTAAAAAAAACTCTAATTTTCAATCCACACTTCTCAAGTGAAAATTTTCATATTTTGCATCGAAAAAGAAATATTCAAATATTTTAATATTTTATAGCGAAAAAAAGCTGTAATTTTCAAACAAAAATTCTACGTAGAATTTTTCATATTTTCCATAAAAAAAAAAATAAAATTTTCAATCAAAATTTTTTAAATAAAAAAAACTCAAATTTTCAATCAACAATTCTCAAGCGATAATTTTCATATTTTGCGTCGAAAAAAATATTCAAATATTTTAATATTTTATAGCAAAAAAAACTCTAATTTTCAAGCAAATATTCTACGTCAAATATTTTCATATTTTCCAACAAAAAAAAAAAACTCAAAACGCAAATATTTAATCTGAAATGCTCACGTCAAATTTTTTATATTTTGCATCGAAAAAATATGCTCAAAACTTTTCATATTTTTCATCGAAAAAAATCTAATTTTTAATCAAAAATTGTCATGTCAATATTTTTCATATTTTTTCAAGTTAGCTGCTTTTTGGCTTACCTTACTATGCATGTGTACATATATATAAATAGATTGTTATTAAGTTTCGGCTCATTTAATTAGATTTCGTTACTAGTATGTCCAAGCATTTCAGATCATTTGTAATCAAGTTTATTTATTTAGCCATTGTTTCACATCATAAGCGGTGCCCTGATGCACCGAAAGCCCATAAATTCAGCTAAGTTATTATATTGTCAACGGCAATGACAGACAGTGGCAAGCAGAGGCGGACAGACATGTGAGTGTGTATTGCCTTGTGGTCAAGAAATTAATATTAAGTGAGCCACTGTTCTGGGCTGACAACAGCATACGCTTGCGACGTACCAACGGTGACAGCATCCAACGCACATGCGCACACACACATATTCATTATGTAAATGAAGATTTTGTTACAAAAAAAAATTGAAATAAAATAAAATGCAACCAAATATCGGCCCTCTGATGTACATTTCATTTGTTTAGCTGCAGCTGTTGTTGCTCTTGTTGTTGCTTTGTGATATCTCACCCATTTTTAATGTGCGCTATGCCACCATCGACTCAATTAAGCCACCGTGCATATTAATAAATGCGATAAATAAATTTATTGCTTACACACTACATCATGTTAACACCCGGACACGACAGAGCGCTGCAGAGCCGAGTGAAGATCTCGAAAAGGAAATGCACAAACACACCAACGAAACGCATACACCACACCATATTTGTGGTGAACAAGTAGCAGTTGTTGTAGTTGTCAATGTAACAAACCGAAATTATGTATATCATTAATATTGCCATTGAAGTTGATCCAAATGATACGGATAGCACAGTCGAACGCCAACGAAGCAGCGCGCGTCAGCGCCACCGCCACCGCTGCTGTCAAGACTGTGACTTTCGGGGGCAGCGCCAACTTTAATTCAATTTGTAGCGCGCTAAAGCCAAATTATAATATGTAAACATTAGCGTATCGAGTGTAGAAGTGGGAGGTGCTCTATTGATATGGCGCTAGCAAGCAAAAATGCTGAACGTGGGTTGTGCGCGCGCCGTTGGCGGTCGGCAGTCGGCGGCTGGCGCCAAGCGCATGCAACAAGTCTAACTATAAGGGGGTCTTCCACAAATGCTTGGGTAGTTTTTTCAGGTTTTTTTTTCCTCAAATATCTGTCTAATTTGTATTTATTTCTTGGTATAATTTTTCGAAAATTAATTTCCGTTTCATTTCATTTCGAATTGTGCTCAGTTATGGTAAATAAATTAGTCGAACGGCAAATAAAATTAATAGTTTGTCCAAACAAAGTTCAAATTAGCAATTAATAAACGATAGATGCACACAAACACACATACAAGTATATATGTATGTATGTGGCAACAGCGTTGTCATAAATTAAAATCAAATCAACGACCAAAACGAAATGAAGCATTCAAATCGAAAGTCCAAATAAACTCTTTTGGTAATTTTATGGTCGCGGTTGTGGTAAGAGATCTTGCTACTGCCAAACTTACATGTATATGTAGGTGTATATGTCTGAGTATATTAATATATAATTTATGTATTTTATATGCGCTTGTTTGTTGTTGCATTTGGCACACGCCGGATGCACACGCGAAATAAATTCGTTAATAAATGATATCGCGGAAGAGTTGGCCACTAACACAACCACAAACACACTGCTCGATAAATATATTTTTGTATGTTTGTATATATGTACATTTGTTTGTGCGCGAAAATGAACTTGATTTTGCACAATTTTGCTTATCATCATTGCAAAATTTGGCACAACAAAGATTACCAGTGCGTTTTATCGAAAACAAATAACGGCTGCTAGCTGGCCTAGGTACGGACTCAGTGACAAAACAATACACTTTTGGCAAAATTTTCCACTAAATATGTTAGTAGTGAAACTAAGCTGATTGAGTCTGTTTGAAGGAAATACGATTAATCTACTAAAAAGTATTTTTTGAATGGTTTTTTCGACTCAAATAACTAAAACTGTGAATTTGGCAGCACGCATAACCAACCACTTCTGCCAAAGGGTATGGGTTTCAAAAAATCGAATTTTTTTATTGTTCTCTTAAATTCAACAACATCTCTAGATTATTGCCCTAATCGCTAAGTTGATCTGAGCAATAGTTTCGAAGATACAGCCCTAAGAACTTGTGCGCTCGAGGCTAGCTAGGCTAAGTGCCCCGCCTTTAAAAGCGTTTTTCTCGAAACTGGTTGTTCTGAAGTCAGCTGGTAAGATTTCTCGAGAACCAGTCAACCGATCGTCATGAAATTTTACACATGTCTTTGAGATATAATTCTTAAAGACTTAGATCAAGCATTTTTTTCGATTACAGCTATTTGAAAAGAAAATATCGAGAAACTTTCACTGAAATTTAAATTTTTTTGGAAAAATGTCCGCAAAAATTCCAATTTACAGTTTTCTTCCTTCGTCTAAGTTCTAAGTTATGGTTTTAACTAAAATACGTATTTATTCAATTTAGATTGTTTTGTAAAGAGCTATTTTGCCAACGTGGATGCATCTTTTTCCGATGGGTCACCGAAAATGGTGTCACATTGGCCGAGTTTAAAATATTTTTTTTGAAAAATTTCAAAATTTTTTTGCTAATAACGTATGTTTGTAACAATAAAAAATTCTAAAAAAATATTTCATTTTTTATATGAAAAAAAAGTTGTTAAAAAAGCGCTGTTTTTTATCCTAGGAAACCCATGTAGTCCCTTAATGACACAGAGCATTTCATCTTACTAAGATTTGTGAATTTATATAATTTTTTTTTATCGAAAACAAAGATATTTGAGAATATTTTTGGAAATTTACCAAAAAAGAGAAATGAGCATATTTGTAAGAATTGTTATTGTTATCGACTGCTAAAACCTAAAACTTAGGTTGGGTGCGGGTTGGGTTAGATGGCTGATCTAGCGAGATTGCACATGGATGGCTATATGTAGTCCTTTGTGCTGCCATAGGGAATGAGAATTCCTGTGTTAAAACCTATAAAGCCTAAAAGTAACTTTCTTTCGTAAAGCTATTTAGAAAGTCGGTGTGGAAAATTTCTCTGAAACGGTCGAACCGATCGACTTAAAATTTTCACACGATCTTGCTAGATATATTTGTCAGGTAATAATCGAAGAGAAGACTTTTGATTACAATTTCGTTTTTTAAGCTGTGCTGAGTTGAGTAGATTTTACCAAAAGTGAATTTGTCAAAAAGCCTTTTTTGATTAACTGTATTCTTTTATAATACTAAACTACATATCTACATTTTTCTATTTTTGCAATTGAGATAATTTCAAGCAGAAAATCCACTGTCAGACACCTTTCTTGGGAGGACATACTGGAAATCGGCTATGGGATCATGGGAATAAAAAATATTTCAAAATGAATATTATTAAGTAATTAAGTATTTTTAATAAACGCATTTTCTCATACCAGCAAATGGATGTAAATAAACCCTGCGGGTGTGAATATGGAAGGAAAATATCGCCAAACATTATATTTTCGCAGCAAAAAAATTCGCCGAACTTCGTGTTTAACTGAACCCTATTTGGTACTCTAAATATGATTTTTTATAAAAAGTCGAAAAACTTTAATAGTTGTCAACTTTTAGTGCCAGTTTTTTCAGTTTCTTAATACATATATAAGTGTAAGTTTTTGATTCTAAATGTTAAGTTACTGTTATAGTCCTTATTATTCAGATAAAATCAAAAAATATATATAATAGAATAAAAAATTAACATTGAAGTATAGATTTCTCTACTCACCACTGTGATGCACCGACGGTGAATGAAAGCTACTTTTCTCACTGGCTGGTGGTGTTGTATAATCGGATGTTAATCTGTGACTGTTGTTATTGTTGTTGCTATTGTTATTATTATTGCTGTTACTACCTAAATAATTGCCGACTTGATGATCAGAGCCACAATGCGACGCTGTCGTGGACGCCTCAAAGGCGTTTTGTTGTTGTTGTTGCTGTTGTACATTAACAACATCATCATTGGCGAATTTTTCACAATCTAAATTTGGAAAAAGTTTAAATAAAAATAGTTTTAAATAAAATAACTATTACAAAGTTATCATATAAATGAAGAAAATAATTTGAAATGGATGAAATTTAACACTATTAAATAACGGTTCAATTTAGATTGAATTAAATTAGAAATTGTTATAAAAAACGTGTCCAACAAATGTATTTTTTATTTTAAAGACAAGGAATAAAAATTCTTGAGCAAAAATACTATCATATTACTTTACCTAATTTCCTCTCAAACATAAAAATTCAAGAGTTTACTAAAATTGATTGAGTAAAGGAAAAAGCTCATTCACAGAAAAAAGAATTTTTGAAACACATTAGACTTTCTAATGTCAATAGCCACTTGGGCTTTTAGTAAAAATCTTGGAGAAAACGAAAGACAAAAGGAATCCTGGAAGTTCCGAGTTTTATCTATCACTGAAACATGCTTTTACCATGTTTCAGGATCGACACTTAGTTTTGTAAGGCACACAAAATTTCTTAGGTTTATTATCACATCTTGTTTACACAGATTTAATTCCACGCCATAGTATTACCCCAGTAAGTGTTGTTATTATTATAGTCACAAAGGAACATTCCACTAATATGTTGCTAGGATGTCGCCGACTTTTTAGGCCTTGGCTCGAAAAAAATCGGATATCGCTCCGAGCGTCGTGGGAAAACTAATTGTATTGCAAAGTTCTTATATCCGCATGTGATGACATTTTAACAGGTAAGCTTTTCGAGAAATATGTTTGTAAGACGGATTTTACTACTTTCTGCTTCGTTATCAAGACATTTGTGGCTATGTTCGCCCATCCCATGCACCCAATAATCCCCTTTCCTAATGTAACTAAAACTAACCTGTATTCTATTTACCAAGCGAGGAAGAGTAGTGAATCGAACAAACTACTTTAGCGACTTATTCGGCACAAGTACACAAGACATCGTCGCTGGCTTGTTGTCATAGACCATAAACTTGACATAACCCCACCAGAAATAGTTTAACGCACGACCGTGACGAACAATTGACTGGACCATTTCGAGAGATAACACCTTCACCAAACTTGGTTTTCAATAACTCGATTGTAACATTTGCCGTGTGACTTGTGGCGCCGTCCTGTTCGAACCACATATTGTCCAAGTCCATATCATTGAATTTGGGCCAAAAATATACGGTGACCATCGAGCGGTAGCGACTCCCATTCACGGTAACGTACCGGCCTTGATTATCACGGAAGAAGTACGGCCAAATGCCATCGCCGGCTCATAAACTGCACCAAACTGTAATTTTTTCGGAATGCAATGGATACTCATGGAGTACGTACTAATGTACTTTCGCAGAAATAAATAATTTCACTAATAACGCAAACAGTTTTTGTTTTATTAAAAAACAAAAAAGAAACTTTTGCATCGAACTTATAGAAAATCCCGCTCTTAAAGTTGAGACCACTGAATCCGAATTTCGGTAGTAAATTTTAATAATTTCGACTCGTTATTGGATCGTATATCTTTCTATGATGAAATGGCAGGCCTTACTAAAAAAAATGTCGAAACAGCGGGAAAAAATTTGATGTGATTTGCTGTTCTTATTGGGTAACTTTTGTATCGTAGCTATTAAAAACCCCGTTATGTAACGATTTAAACTCGACTTTTTCAAGATGGCATGTATTGAATTCAACCCGCACAAAGTTAGCGAGCAGGGAAATGGCGAATCGATTGCAACTATTATTATTAATTGTGTGTTGGATGAAGAATTTCTGTAGTGCTTACCAGACCTTATGATCTTTACTTTGATTTTTTTTTTTTTTTTTTTTTTTTTTTTTTTTTTTTTTTTTTTTTGGTTTTATACTCTAAGCAAGGTATACTAAGCTTGCCTTGACGTTTGTAACACCTAAACAAAGACGTCGGGACGTCGGAGATTCTACAAAGTATTTATATGTATAAATAATAAGCGTCAGGAGCTGCCTGTCCGATCGTCTTATTCTTCTTTATTAGCGTAGACATCGCTTACGTGGTTGAAACTGAGTTTACAACAGCTTAAGGCTGTTGTGTCCTTTTTATTGGGAGTGTTTTTTTTTGTGGTGGGTCCCAAACCCAACTGGAGTGGGATGATACGCTTTCTCACTTTAGCTCGATCGAATGTGTTTTGCCTAAATAAAGGATACGTGGTCTAAAACCTGAAGTTGTGAGCTGCTTGAGCCATGTGTAAAAAATCGCTTACGAGAACTTCTATATCTTCCGATCGTCTATCCGTTAGTATACATGATTATTTGTCTCAGTTTTTGAAATATTGCTCTGAAATTTTTCATATGTTCCTTTCTCATCAAGGACAACTATAGCATGACTGCCGTACACGCAGAACGATATTTGTGAAGGGTATAGGGTAATATAAGGGTGCATTCAAAATTAATTAAATTTTTTTGATCTGTATTAGTTTCGATTTAAATGGAGTTAATATTGACTCACTATCTTATCTAAGCTAATCTATGGCATGCGCGGCATTAATAAGTTGGCAAAAAATACAAAAATTGCTTCACTTATTTCATAATCATGCCACTAGGGTTATAACGGATTAAAACAAAAATGCGAATTATTAACACATGTGTACATATGTATATACATATGTGGTATGATATTTTAAAAACTGGACAGAACGGGTGTATAATATGACCATATACATTTTAAACTACAAATTTTTGGCAAATACCTTTTCGAAAGCCCCTCCCAAAAAAATACTAAATCAAATAAACCTTTACATTGGTGTATACAACAATTTTAAATTGTTTTCTTGAGTACCTGCAATAATTTTAGCGAACCTATACGTAAATCCCTTTCACTACTTTCCATTGAAGCAATAAAGCACTCAAATTCAATGAATGAATGCGTAATTTTTCGTAAACACCGCCTCAGAAATAAGTAAATTTTCGTATGATTACGATTATTGTCTACTTCCTTTCAACCCTTAACCTTATCAGCGCGGCGATAAGTTAAGCAACCAACAGAGTACAGTAGCAACACCCCAACACACCCACACACATAACTGTGAACATGTGTGTAGTGGTGACCAACAAAAGGTGTGACACGTGTCCAAGTAGCATGGCAGCTTTTTGTACACGCCTTCAGGCAAAGCAATCGGTGAGGTCAGGTGGTAGTAAATAGCAGATGCCATGACACAAGTCAACTTGCCAACTTAACCCGTTCACAATCGAATTTGCGTCAATAATACAAAGTGATGCCGCGTGGAAGTGGAAAATCAATGAAAAATCAGCGACCACTCAGAAGAAAAAGACGACGGCTGTTGGTGCGGTGTGCGCCAAAGCTGGTCCGGTTGTATTTTAGCCGTGTCTGCACACACCCGCCGACGCCTGGGCGGACACAGGCGGCCAGCACGGTGATTTTGTTACCTCGAAGACATCCGCTTTTAGAGCGATATTTTGCCTCGCGATTGCGAGTGTGAGTGTGTGTGTGCAATATTTTTAGCGTGTCCGCAGGTTTTTTCTCTTTTTACAGTTAGTTGGTTAGAAAAATGAGTTAGGACAATTGAAGTGCTCAGAGAATATTGCAGGTAGTGCAGAGGTACTCATACATAAACTCTACACTGATTGCAAGCATTCCCTGTAGGAAACCTTAGCGTTTACGGTCATTTAATGTATTTGGTAGTCGAAAAAGTCGTTTCGTATTTTCTCAAAAGATGTCGCAGAAGTCGTTTATCTCCAGTGCTACCAGTCACATTGTGTCATACCATATAGCGTTGGAAAGGTGAGGTTTAAGTTTCATTTACCAAAAAAAAAAATTATATTCGGGGAAGTTGAAAAAAAAGTTACAGCTGTTCATGATGGTTGAAAATAATGAAGAAATTCGCTATATTTTGAAATTTTTGTATAAATGCCACGCAAGCCGCCAAAGAAATTTGTGTAGTTTACGGAGATGATACTGTATCAATTCGTATAGCACAACAATGGTTCGCTCGCTTCTGTTTTAGAAATTCCGATGTGAAAGATGCGCTCTGGTCCACCTATCGTTGAAAAGTCGATGAAATTATGAAAAATATTGACCAGGACCGTGACATAAGCAGCTATGGCATCGCTAAGGAACTTAAAATATATCATTAAATGGTTTTGAATTATTTAAAAAAGGCTCGCTACAAAAAGAAGCTCGATGTCAACAAAACAAAAAAAAAAAAAAAAACCGTCAGAATTGACCAACAGAAAAGGGCTACGTGTTCCATCTGGACAACGCTAGACCACATATATCTTTTTTGACTCGGCAAAAACTGAGAGAGATTGGCTGGGAAGTCTTGATGCATCTACAATATAGCTCTGACCTTGCATCATCGGACTACCATTTGTTCCGGTTACTCCAGAACTCCCTTAATGTAGTAAAAAACTTTTCGTGATTTTTCGACGAGAATCAGAAAAGTTTTAAACTGATGGAATATGTCAATAGCAGGTTCGTTAAAGTTCATTATAAATATAAAAAAAAATTATTAGAAATACGAAAAGAATTTTTCGACTACCCAGTATTTCTTGCTGGAATTTATTTGTTGACCTTACGAAATCGATTTTAGTAACTGTCGCCAGAAGCCTGTTAGCAGTTTGAACAAAATCGTTCTTCTTTAAAGCGCTATCCTTAGGAAAAGCGTCATATTTTCCGAATTATTTCATCTGTGCGCTATTTCTATAATTCTGCGATATTCTCCTGATATTCTCGAAAATAAAAAGAACTGAAAAAAACCAACAAACTTGACTCAGAACTATTTTGAGTTGCTTCTCAGCATCTTGAGTCAATATAACAGTTAAGTTATCACTTGCATGCTGTTAGCATTGAAACAAAATATTTATGAATTTTTGCGCTAAAGATTTACTTAAAACATGACCTCTTTTAAACTCTGGAGAAAAACTCAAATTTTCCTACAGGGTTGCAATAGTAACAGCATGTATATGCGAGTAATGGTTGTATAGATTTGTGTAAACATGTTGTGTAACAGGTTAGCTGGCAAAACAGCAGCTGCAAATTCTAACCCTTCCTACTAGTACTTTTACACCGACTCGCTGGCCTTTAGTTGTATTAACGGAAGTTTAAATTAAATTTACCTTTACATTTCCCAGCGAAAAAGTGTTTTCACAACTATATGCATGTATGATATATGTTGTTGTTGTAGTGAAAATTTAACTCGATTTATAATATAATATGTTGTTATGCAAAAGGAAAAATGGTTTATTTAAAATATGTCACACACAACTAAAAGTGAATTGCTTACACGAGACCAAAGGCTAGCGGTACTCACTTGCCGCACAAATTCAATTGCTGTATTAATTATATTTTCAAAGCATGTCCTTGAACGGAGAAATCTTCAAGCGCACATGAAATATAAAAAAAAAAATTAATTGAAATATTGCTGGCGCCAACTGAGCATTAATATGCACCATGCAGCGACGTGTTACAAGCACTGCGAACATAATCCGAGCGACCTGCGTGTAAGTGAGCATTTTTTTCACACTAATTTCGGGCGCATAATAGCGCATGCGCGCACGCAGACACATTATCGTGCATATACACGATGTAATAGTAATTTTTGATTTTTCCGAAAAAAAAAATTAAAATTTTTTCTTATTGCATTTTCTCGGTTTCATGCATTTTCGTAATTTTTTAATTTAAAAAAAATTTTTGTTCTTTTTTCGTTCTTTTTCCTATTTTCTACACGGTTTTTATTTTAAATTTTTTCTATATTTATGTTTTGATCTTTCTATCTATTTTTTATCTAATTTTTATACGTTTTTTTTTTATTTTTTATTTAATTTTTTTTTTTGTTATTTTTTATGTATGTATGTATATTTTTCAAATTGTTTTCTACTCACCCTTCTGCAGTATATCTAAATGTTCCCACAAAATATCACCCGTAAATGGTGGCGTTATGGCTAGAAACTTATCTTTGCCTAATTCAATCATATCACGTCCTTTCATTTTAATAAAAGGCTCCAAATTCATTGAGACCAGTGAGAATTCTTTGCTTGCCCAGTTGAGCCAATAGATAACATGCTCTTCCTTCCATTCGCGGGGATCTGTAAGAGCGTCAACAGACAAAAAACAAAACACATAAAATATTAAAGAAGAACAAGCAAAACGGAAATCAATTAATATTAATATGCATGTAATGATTACAATTCACTTCAAATACAAGTTGCTTTTCTCATGCAAAGAAAAAATTAAAATTGTTAACAAAAAAACTTAGTTATAAGAAAAATAATAATAAATTTAAAGCGCGCTTATTTGTATGCATTCGATATGCGCGTTGTACAGTGTTGACAATATAATTTTTATTTCACTTGTAATTTCCCTTAATTAACATTATTGAGGAAAGCAATCAAATGCGTGTAAATTTGTCGGGCATATTAACAAGCCGCAAACGCACGCTCATACACACAGACATATATATTATATGTAAGCGTCTAAGTTGTAATAATTTATTTGTGTAATTATGTGTGTGTGTATAACTGTTTGACATGCTAATACACGATTAATAATTGACATGGATTTCATGGATTTTTAAATATTATGTGTGGGAGTGAATTCAAAAGTGAGAGAAAATTCATTTGCTGTGAATTTTTAATGAATTTATAGCTTAATAAAAATTAGAAATAAACGAGAGCGTGAGAAACTAACGGCAATCTGTTATTACAAATTAAATGGTTAAGTATTTTGTACAATTAAGATTAAAATATAAGCTTCTATACGCCTTCGAATGGGAGAGCGATTTTGGTGAGAATATTTTTTCATGTGAAAAATATTCTCAGAAATTAAGTATTTCCTATTAAGAAGCATTTCTAATCAGAAATATTTGTTTCTATAATTTTTCTCAGGCGGAAGTTGAATTCAAAATTAACGGAATGAGATGCAGTTAAAATATTTAGTCCTTTGAAAAATGTAGGGCTTTAGTTTAATGCTTTTAAATAAAAGTTTAATTAACGTTCAAATCAGAAAATCTTAATTTGTGAATTTCTAATTCTGAATACCAGATTGCAAAAAAAAAACTTTAATCTTAAACACGGAAAAAAATTAAAAAGAGGTATAATCACAAAAACTAAAGAAATAAATT